AGACACATAAGTGAGGAAACTGCTAAAAAGAGAGCTGTGTCCAGAATGCAATCTGGGCTCTGAGGAGAGACAGGGGAGGCTGGAGCAGGCTTCAGAGAAGAGGTGACTTGAATGAGTAGGAAGTACCTGCTGGCTGCAGCCAGTGGCCCTGTGTTGAGAGTGGGGTGGGGAAGAATGGAAGGGTAGTAGCCTGTTGATTGCTTCTCCCCTTCTCCTGCAGGAATTTTTCACAGACAACCTGTGGGGCACTCTCCCTTGCTCATGGCAGGAAGCATTGGATGGACTGAACCCGCCACAGCTCGCCACACTGCTGCTGGGGATGCCTAGGGAAGGGGAAGTGGTCAGGTATGGGCAATGGGGGCCCTGTGCTGGAGGACTCAGTGCTGAGCCCTGCAGCAAGCCATTGCTCAATCTCACAAGGGCTCCCTGGGTTGTAAACTGGCGCACTCAGGACGTGGTGGAACTATTCACTGGGCGCCTGGGCCGGGCTATCTCAGGTACAGGTCGGTGTGGCCACTTACTCTGCTGGCCTTGAAGTCCACAGCCTATGCCCTGGCCTTTACCCGGAAGCCTGGATTTCAGAGCCCCTCAGAGTTCCTGGAGAACCCCAGCCAGAGCTCGCGACTGACGGCTCCATTCCGGAAACATGTCAGGCCCAAGAAGCAGCATGAGATCCGGAGGCTGGGAGAGGTGAGGAGAGGGCTGGGGTATAGTTGGTGTCTGGAAGCCTGGGAACTCCTTAAGCTGGTGGGTTACAAAGATGTGGGCACCTTAATCACCTGCAGGACTGGAGGCCCTAGAAGACCCCTTCCCCACAGGCGTACTATAACCATATCTCGATGCTGGGGTTTTGGGGGTTTTTCATGCTTTTGCTGGGTTGGTTGGTGGCTATGTCTGAATCACTGTCTTATTCCTGTTCTCACACCTCCACAATCTGCGCATGGCTTCACAGTGGGGCTCTTCTTGTTCTCGGGGGGAGGTTGAATCACTGAACTGACAGGAGCACGGAGAGTGGCCTGAGCTGGGGTCAGCACCTCCTGTTTTGGTTTCCGTATCTCGTCTTCTATGGCACCCTCTACCCATCTTCCTCGGTCATCTTTAGCTCCTCCACCCTCATTATGGGTGTTTGCTCCAGAAGTCAAGAACCAATGGCCAGGAGACCTTTGTTCCCTCCTCTTTCAGTTGGTGAAGAAGCTGAGTGACCTCACAGGCTGCACCCAGGTTGTGGATGTAGGCTCAGGCCAGGTGAGCCAGACCCCTAACATTCTGGTTTTTTTGAGTCAGGATAGAACAGTTGGAAGACAGGTTATCAGGCCACTGGCCCAGGGAGGCAGGTGCCAAGGAGTGGTAGAAGTAGGCAGGGCAGAATTTAAGCCTTCTGGGGCCTGGGCCCCAGGTGTCCAGGCCACTGACAGGGAGGGTGACAGTGGATAGAGCACTGATCAGGAGTGTCTCCACCCTTCCTCTCATGACTCCAGGGCCATCTTTCCCGCTTCATGTCCCTGGGGCTGGGGCTGATGGTGAAGAGCATTGAAGGGGATCAAAGACTGGTGGAGAGAGCCCAGCGCCTGGACCAGGAGCTCCTGCAGGCTCTGGAGAAAGAGGAGAAGAGGAACCCACAGGTAGGCTAACCCTTCCTGCAGCAGCAGGGTCTGCTTGGCTGGAACTGGGCACCAAGGCTGAATTCCCTCTTGCAGATTTCTCAGTGTGAGATCGTGTGGTCCTTATTTCCACTACCCCTTTCCCCAGGTCCCCCCTTCGCCAAAGCCTCCTCACATCTTAAAGGCACTTTCTAGTTAGAAAGTGCTTTCCACACCGGTATGTCCTTCTCACAACAACATGTGAAATGGCCAGTCAGGTATTAGACTCATTACAAATGAGGAAACTGGGACTCAGAGGTGAAATGATTTGCAGTTAATAATGATAGACCCATGGGCCGGCTCTGTGGCTTGGTGGTTGGGTGCACGCGCTCTGATGCTGGCGACCCGGGTTCGGATCCCGGGAGCGCCCCGAGGCACCACTTCTCCCTCCAACACGAGGCCGAGTCCCACGTACAGCAACTAGAAGGATGTGAACCTATGACATACAACTATCTACTGGGGCTTTGGGGGGAAAAAACTGAATAAATAAAATCTTTAAAAAAAAAAAAAAATAATGATAGACCCAGAATTCATCCCATCTCCTGATTCAAGGTCCAGCTCTCTCTGACGCCCCACCTTCTCTCCCACCTTCCTCTTTGGGAAGGAACACAGAGGACAGATCCATTCCTGTGGTCTGAGGTGGCATGGGGACAGCAAACAGACTTCCCATCTGCCTTCATCCTTTCCTGCCTCCACAGGTGGTCCATACTGGCCCTCGCCACTCCCCACACCACGTGGTTAGGTGGGTAGACCCCACGGCCCTGTGTGAGGAGCTTCTGCTTCCACTGGAGAACTCACCTCAGGGTGGGGCCCGCTTGCTGCTCACAGGCCTCCATGCCTGTGGGGATCTGAGCGTCGCCTTGCTGAGGCACTTCTCCTGCTGCCCTGAGGTGGTGGCCTTGGCCTCAGTGGGCTGTTGCTACATGAAGCTGAGTGATCCTGGTGGCTACCCACTGAGTCAGTGGGTGGCTGGGCTGCCTGGCTACGAACTGCCCTACAGGCTGCGGGAGGGGGCCTGCCATGCCCTGGAGGAATATGCTGAGCGGCTACAGAAAGCAGGCCCTGGCCTCCGAACCCACTGCTACCGGGCAGCGCTGGAGACAGTTATCCGCCGTGCCCAGCCTGAGCTCCGTCGGCCAGGCGTGCAGGGGATCCCCAGGGTCCACGAGCTCAAGATCGAAGAGTGAGGCTGGGGGAGGTGGAGGTGTGGGAGGGGGCATTGCCAACTGAAAATCTGATTCCCCTCCCACCCTCACTTGTTAGTGGGTCCTAAAGAAAATCTAAATGTGATTTTGAGCTCTCTGACTGGGGCAGCTTCTCAAAATTTCTTAAAAAGGGAGTTGTCACTCTTTTATCAGGAGACTATCACGTTTTTTTTTTCCTTTTAGTGAGGAAGATTGGCCCTGAGCTAACATCTGTGCTAATCTTCCTCTTATTTTGTATATGGACGCGGCCACAGTGTGGCTTGGTGAGCACTGAGTAGGGTCCACGCCTGGGATCTGAACCTGCGAACCCCAGGCTGCCAAAGCAGAGCACAGGAATGTAACAACTACGCCACTGGGCCGGCCCCTATCACGTTTTTTTAATGCTAAAAATATGACTAAATATTGGGACAGATCTGGCTGAAAATAAATTTTTGGATTTATTTACTTTTTTTGTGTATGTATGTGAGGAAGATCAGCCCTGAGCTAACACTCATGCCAATCCTCCTCTTTTTGCTGAGGAAGACTGGCCCTGGGCTAACATCTGTGCCCATCTTCCTCCACTTTATATGGGACGCCCCCACAGCATGGCCTGACAAGCGGTGCATTGGTGCGCACCCGTGATACGAACCTGGACCACCAGCAGCAGAGCGCATGCACTTAACCACTACGCCATGGGGCTGGCCCCTGGATCTATTTGCTATTGGACAGATAGCTCACAGCCAGAAAAACATTTAAAGATGCATATTAGGGTAGCAAATCAAGCAAAGTTGGAATTGAATTAGGAATGGACAGTTTAAGTGGGAGGTGGAGGTTCCTAAAACCAAACTGAGTGCTGTCTGTGGCTGACCCCACAGATATGTGCAGCGGGGGCTACAGCGGGTAGGGCTGGACCCCCAGCTGCCGCTGAATCTGGCTGCCCTTCGGGCCCACCAGGCCCAGGAGAACCGTGTGGTGACCTTCTTCAGCCTGGCCCTACTGCTGGCCCCACTGGTGGAGACACTGATTCTACTGGACCGGCTGCTCTACCTTCAGGAGCAGGGTGAGGGGGACCTACAGCAGGGACCCAGGAGGGTCCAGAGGGGCTGGAGTTCTAGGGCTCCTCCTTCAGGTCCCAGCCCGACATCTGTTCATCACGTTGGTGATTCTCAGACCACCTGCTTCAGAGTCACCAGTGGGGTGGGGGGTGGGGTACTTGTTACCACAGATTCCTACTGAATCAACCTCTGGCGGTGCATCCCCAGTGCATTTTAAGCAAGCACCCCAGGCACTGAGAACCTACGATGTGCAGAGGACTGCCTCCTCCCAAGTCAGTGCCTCGGGCACCCATGTTCCTGGTAGAGAACTGGGGCTCCTTAATGCCCATGGGGAAAAGGGGCTGTGCCTACAGGCTGGGCAGGAAGTGGGGCTGAGACTTTGCTTCACTTCTCCCCTTCTGAGTAGCCCTGCCTTTCTCCCAGGCTTCCACGCTGAGCTCCTGCCCATCTTCAGCCCTGAACTCTCTCCCAGAAACCTGGTTCTGGTGGCTACCAAGAGGCCGCTGGGTCAGGCCTTCTCTGTTCTGGAGACCGAAGACAGCTGACACAGCCTGAGGAAGGGCACATCTCAGAGCCCATCTGAACCACCCAGGTGCCACAGTGGGTGGCAGAGTCTGCACCTCCTTACCCAGAGAACCAGCATCCTGTGTCCTCCCTGGAATCCTGTTTCCCCACAAACCTTCAGCTTCATATCCTTTCTCTCCCTCCATGTGTTATGTAATATTATGTAAAAATTTATTTTTAATTTATTAAAAAATTGAAATCTTTATTTCCCTTCCATTTCTATTAAGTATAGAAAAGGACAGATGTGCACCCTCCCTGCTGAGATCCTGCAGAGGAGCTACAATTAAGACTCACACCCCCAATCCCCACTGTCCTCCATCCATAACAGGTAGCATCTTCTGTTACTCAGAGGTCTCCAGGGGAGGGAACCTCTCTCCCACTCTGGTCTCTATCCCAGATGCTGCAGGCCATGCCCCTTGGGAGGGCCACCTTAAGGCTAGCTAACTTCCATCCAGGTTCTTCAGTAACATCAGGACAGATGCTCCCTCTCTTCAGTCCCTGAAATAGGTGCATTGGGGTTGGGGTGCCAGTCTACCAGAAGACAGCAGCTGCACACAGAGGACAACTTGTGGCTCTTTATTGATGTCTGAAGAAGAGGTGGCTGCAGCTTTCAAGGCTAAGACAAGGAGAGAAGAAGCTGCTCTCCCCAGGTTCAATACCAATAGACTTTCTTGTGTCTCCGAGTCTCCTGGATCCCCATTGCCTCCATCACCTCCTCCTCCAGTGTCTTTAGACGGGGCACATAGGTTCTTTCTAGAGCATCTTCCACTGATGTGTCTTTGGGGCCATCTGTTGAGCCAAAGGAAAGAAGATGGAATGGGAGGGCTTCTTAACATTCCTTACTCCCACTATCACACCCACCCCCATCTTCCTGCCCCTCACCCAGCCTCACCAATCCATGTTTCAGGAACGATGCCATCAGCTCTGGGAAATTCAGGTTTGGGGATAATTCTTCCTGATCTTGTGGAGACTCGTACCCGCTCTCCTGCCTCAGTGAATCTCCACTCCACCTCAGTGGGTTTCCTAGTAGATAGAAGAGGTGAGCCGGGCCTGGGAGTCGGGTCTCCCTGCCACCCTCCAAACCAAAAGTCAATGGCTGAAAACACTAAGGTCACTATCTTGTTTCTCTGCTACCTCTGTATTGGGGTTGCCTATAGGGGATCATGTCCATGAAATGGCCCCTTTCAATTTCCGGGGCATCCAACCCACCATTCCCATTGGATAAATGTGGTCAACACCTATGTGGACTCAGAGGGTGGAAAACCCTCTAACCAGAGCCCCATGTGCTTACCTATCCACAGGATCCACAAGTTTAACCTGGTGGTGGAGCAAGGGTGCTTCGCTAGGGACCATGGTTCCCCGGTAATCCTTGGTCTTGCCAACATAGCGGTAATGCTGTCCAAAAGAGGGGGGATATCAGAAACCAAGGGGTGTGAAGGGGGCTTGCCTACCGCAGCTCAGAGCATTCAGCCCAAGTTGAAAAGTAGAAAATTCAGTTGTCTCACCATTTCTTCAGCCAGTCTCCTGCCTCCCTCTGCTGCTCTTAATGGAGAGGGACAGATGAGACAGGCTTTCTGAGTATCCCCATCCTCACTCTTCACTTACTGTATTCAGCCCCTCCAGGACCACCCAGTTTCGCTGCCGGATAACTTGAACCACTTTGCCTTGCTTCCCGGCATCCTTGCCTTCTAGGACCTCCACCTGTGGGAAGATATGAGGGTCAGGAAGGGACATCCTTGCCCAGGAGCCCCCCTACTACTTATCCCATCTGAGGTTCTCACCCTGTCCCCACAGAACAGATGCCAGTCTTCATCAGAGATGGGTTCCACAGCCACCCGGCGCCGCCTGGTCCCTGGAGGGTTCTTCCTCTTGTCTGAGAGGGAGCCTGGACGGCTCATCCCATAGCGGTAGTTAGGGGGCAGAGTGACTTTGGATGCCCAGGCCAGCAGGGCAGAGAGACGCATGATTGGAGGCTGTGAGAAATCCTCTGGCCAAGACCCAGAAACCTTCCTAGTCAACTCTGGGGTAAACAGATACAAACAGGGCAAAGAAGCAAGAGAAGGAACATTTTTTCAAGCACTTGGTCCATTGCTCAATGGACCTCATCTCATTAAATCCTTACAAGACAGTACCTTCACTTTACAGATGAGGAAACAGACTCAGAGAGGTTAAGTGACTTGCTCCTGGTCATCAAGCTAGTATGTAGGAGAATCAGCATTCAAACCCACCTATATCTGACTTCAAAGTCCAAAAAGTTCATTGAGGGCAGGGACCATGTTATCTAGCTCACCCCCGAATCCAGCAGATCCCAGTAGGGCTTGGCACAGAGTAGGTACTCAATAAATAGTTATTAAATAAATGCACAAACAGCAGGATAGGAAGAAAACAGTGGCATAAGGCCAAAAGGCAGGCAGTTATAAAGTAAAACAGGGAGCAGAGAGAAAAACTGGGACTAAAGTGTTCTTACACCACTTCCAATCCTATCCTCACTCAGGAAATAACCACTCCTCCTAAGACAGCTTCTTTTCTTAAGGGTCCGGAGCCAGACTCTAGGATTACTGGGTCCTAAATTTCCCAACTAGATACGGACTCTAAGCCTCCCAATTTGGGATGATGGACTAAATCAATGGGGTGGTGAGAGAACTGAAGGCAAAGATAATAAGTGCACCAGTTTATTGAGCACTTTACCTGCCAGGTGCCATGCTAAGTGCTTTCCTGGATCATCTCATTTAAGCCTAAGGACAACTGATGAAGGAGGTACCATTAATCTTGTTTTATAGCTAAGAGTGAAGCCTACTTTATTTTATTTATTTATTTATTTATTTATTTATTTATTTATTTATTTATTTATTTATTTATTTATTTATTTATTTATTTATTTATTTATTTATTTATTTATTTATTTATTTATTTATTTATTTATTTATTGTGAGGAGACCAGCCCTGTGCTAACATCTGCCAATCCTCCTCTTTTTTTGCTGAGGAAGACTGGCCCTGGGCTAACATCCATGCCCATCCGCCTCCACTTTATATGGGACGCCGCCACAGCATGGCTTGCAAAACAGTACGTCAGTGCGTGCCCAGGACACAAACTGGTGAACCCCCGGCTGCCACAGCAGAGTGTGAGCACTCACCCGCATGCGCCACCTGGCCAGCCCCGAAGCCCACTTTAAAGTACCAATAAAGTACACTTTAATGGCATAAAGAGCTCCGGACGGGGAGTCAGACGACCTGGGTTCTAGTTCCTGCTCCACCATCATCTTATTCTGTGACTCTAGGCAACTGGACTTCGGAGCTTCAGTTTTATCATCCATAAATCTTTACAGGGCTGTTGGTGTCAAATTATTTTTAATAAATATCTTTATTTTATCTAATAAATAATTTTAACAAGTTATTTTTAATAAAAATTTTAAAAAGGTACAGAATAATGTGAATAGTATCATCCCTTTTGGGTAAATTTAAAAACGTATTCTGGCACAGGCATAAATATTTATGGGTAGGAAACAGGAAACAACTAAAGTACGTGTTTTGGGGGCAAGGAAATGTTCAGGAGGGCTGTTACTTTCTGTCTTGTTCTTTTAAATGTTTGCATTTTTTAACCACGTGCATTAAAAAAATGTAACAACCGGTTTATCTGAACAGTGAGATATTGTGTCATTTTTCTTTATACTTGTCAATAGGAAAAAGAAAAGGGCTAACGTTATTTTCAATTAATGCTGGTTGAATATAAGAGCCTCAATGTTCCCATTCAGATTCAACAAATGCTTAGGAGGCACTACCATGTGACAAATCTAACGCTGGGAACTTCGCTATTACTGGTGTTTGATCTTCAAACGCCCTGTGAGGAAGGCTGACAGGAGACATGGCAACCAAGACCCCGAGAGCTGAAGGGACTTGCCCAAGTTCATATAGCTTCACAGGAGGAGAGCCAATCTTAAGAAAGACTTCTGCGTGACTGCTGCAAGAAATCCCTCAACCTCAGCCATTCTAGATCTGAAGCTCTGGGAGGAGATCCCAGAAGCCAGCTCCCTAGATCTTTTCCTTCTTTCCCTCCAAACTCTGGAGAGGCTAGTGCCCCTTCCGCAGTGGGGCTTCCACGGCGTGCTATGGAGGCGCCGTGCAAGGTAGTGAGGTGGCGCGTCTGTCCCTCAGGCCCCGGCTCCAAAGGCTTCCTCTGCCAGCCCCATCTCAGGTGCAGCAGACGTCCAGGCCCCAGCAGTCTTCAGCACCCAACCGCTCCAAGCTCCGGTGCAAGGAAACCCCACGCAAGAAGACTGAGCCACAGCCAGGGAAAAGGAAGGCCCCTCCCGCATCCCCCTCCCGAACCAGCCCAGAGCCTTTAACACCTCCGGGCGCTGCGGCCCTCACCTCCGCTTGCCGCTGCGCCGCGGAGCTCCGTCTGCTACCTCTGCACATGGGCCCTAACCCCCATCCGTCCCCCTCCCTCGGCTTTCTGGGAAATGTAGTCTAATTGTAGAGCGGAAGCTCAACCACGAATCTAGGCTCTCTGCATGCTGGGAGTTGTAGTCCGCCGCTATGACGCAAACTGGAAACAGAAATTTGGTCGGGTAGGAAATCAAAGAAGCGTATGCTCACTGTGAAGCACGTTGGGAGTTGAAGGCAAAGCAGGATAGGCTGCCGCGCCTGGCACACTCCTACGCATGCTCTGAATGGAGGCCGCTGGGAACTGTAGTTTCTAGAGACGATGGCTCCATTTTCTAGGTGATTGTGGCTTTCTAGTCAAAGCAGAGGGCCTCCCTTTCCAGGCAAGGCTACGATCAGTACTCTCCCCGCCTGTCTTTCTCTGCTGGAGGGGGTCAGGGCAGATTAAAGAACTGTCATAGGCCTTCTAAAGAGATGAAACGTGGGCCCTTCCAGTGCCTGTCGATGATGATCTAGTCACAAAATGTCATATTTGGAAAGAACCTCCGAGATAACCATTCTACTTAACTCAGGGAGTACTGAGAGGATTCCACCCTAGCAACCTCCTCTCTCCTCATCACCAGTTAAGCGCGGCAGGCATCCCTAGCTTTGACTTTTGGGGGGTCAAAGTTGTTTCTATAACCAGCCCAGATACCCCCACTTCCATGGCCACCGTGGGCTGTAGCTGATATTGGCACCCTCTCACATCCTACTTCTTGTGCAAACTTTATACCTTCCCAGGTGCTTACGGGGGAACCTGTGTTTAACAGTGCCTGGGCAGGAGAAGCAGAATGAATAGTGTAGTTTATTCTGTGACTTTGCCCTCATGGAGAATTCTGGATATTTCTAACAGCCTGAGAATGGAGGAGAGGCTGGCATCCCCAACCTCAATCTAAGAAGTTGCTTTGGGAATCATTTGCATTCCCTTTCCCCACTTCCCCTCTGCAGTTAAATAATATACCCCCAAAGAATCAGTCGGAATCCAATGTAGTAATCAACGGGTTTTATTTTCCTAGAACTGAAATCATCTACGGTTCTCAGAGCTAAACTTCCAAAGCTACAGTCAGCAATTTTTCATCAGAGCCCAAGGGAGAGGGGCAAGGGTGAAAGAGACAAGAGATGGAAGAGAGGCAGAGACCACTAGAAAGAGGTTGGGAGAGGGCACTCGTTTCCCTCTGTCCTCTCAGTGGGTTACAAATCGGATCTGGTGTCAACACCGAGGGGACCAGGTGGGAGTATGCGGATGGGAAATGATACCGAAAGGAACACCAAAGCCCCAGCTACAAAAAGAAAAGTCATCAAGCCCCAAACAGAAGGGGAGCCTCCCAGTGCGCCTCAGAAAGGGGGGCAACAGTGGGGAAGAAAGGAGCAGAGTGGGGGGCACACAAAGGGATAGGGGGTCTTTAAAATTTTTTTTGTAATTTTCTTTTATTAAAAACATTTCCTAAAAAATGTGTCTTTTCCTTTATGTCTGGGTGACATGTGACTGCAGGCCGGCCTTGAACACTGTGGGGAGAGGGAAAGGGGCAGCTAGGGATCTCCCCAGGGCATCCCATCTCTGGCCTGAGATTTAAAGGGGGACAGAACTCCTCAACACTCCTACCCAAGCTAGGCAAAATCAACCCTTCAGATCTCAGGCCCTTGGCCCAAACAACCTGGCAGCCCCAAAATCTTTTGATGATAAACTACAACTCCCAGAACTCCGGGGGTCAGCAAAAAGAAGAATGGGTGTTGTCAATCATCAAGGATTTGTGGAAGGGAGCCCCTCCCCCACAAGCTGTCCCACTTTCCCTGAATCTAGGCAGCTGGGATAATAGGTATGGGAGGAAGGGACAGGAGCTCAAGAAGATGCCATCCTCCTGCCCGCCCTCCCACCCCAATTTGAGGACTGCCCCTCCCAGGCCCCAGAAACCCACCCTGCTGTTTATCCTCCACCCCTTCCACACCTAGCCCTGATCCCAACCAACCCAGAGGTCCAGAATGCCTGGGGAGAGGGAGAGGCATGTCAGGAGGTGAAAACAGCTGGTCCAGGCCCCAAGAGAAACCCTGGGAGACAGGCAGGGAGGGACACAGTGGCCTCATCTCATCCCATGGAGCAGAAGACAGCCCTGATTCAGATCACAGGGGTGTGGGGACATGGGAGTGAGGGCCAGCTGGCCTGTCCCATCCAGGTCAATCTCCAGGGGCTGGGCTTGGAGGGGAGTGAGTGAGTGGAAGAGGAGAGTGGGACTGGGGTGAGGAAGGGGTTCCCAGTTTGCAGGCCATGGCCAGTTTCCCCAGTAGCACCCAGACAGCAGCAGGAACGGGGCGGGGGCTCCTCTTGAAACATTGGTGGCTACAGGCTGCGGGGGAGGGTTGGAGGGGAGAAGGTTAATGGTGTGGCCTTGGCTTGGCCTCGCCCCAGCCAGTGCCGGTCTCCTGGGAGAGCCCAGCCTGCCTCCCGAGAGGCTGACTGCTACAGGCCCGCCTCCTCCTCTCCGCAGGTGGCTGGGCCCTCCCAGCCCAGCTGCGACAGGGCAGGGAGCTCACTCACCTCTCATGATCTCTGACGCCTGGGGCCTCAGCATCTTCCTTGGCAGCCTCTTCCTCCTCTTCTTCCTCCTCTTCCTCCTGAGGAGGCCCCCGGCCAGAGCCAGGCTCAGAGGGGGTGCTGTTCTTCTCCACCTCCACAGGGAGGGGCCTCTCACTCTCCAAGGTGGCCACCTCCTTCTCCTCCCCTTCGGGGTCTTCTGCCTCCTTGGGACGTTTAGGGGAGTCCTAGGCAGGATTGGCAGAGACGAGGTGGGCCGAGGCTGGAGAGGGAGCATGCCACCCACCTGCCTGTGCCCCGCCTCCTTTCCCCAGAGGCTCCTTCCTGGGGATACACACAATCCCTCTCCAGCTCTTTGCTAGCTGAAACGCCTTCTGTGTCCCATCTTCTCAGCAAGGGACTCCCCAGGACTAGGGGCGGGGTCTGCCTCTCCGACTGGGGAGTCCCTGAAGCAGCAGCCGTCTTTCAGACTGGGAGCCCTACTCCCAGGCCCTTACCTCCAGCACGTCCCCCGCTCTCCTCTTCAGCGCCCCCTTCTCGTTCTTCTCCTTGGCTGGCTCATCGATGACCAGCTTCCCCTCCTCGTCACTGCTACCCTCAGCATTCCCCTTCTTGTCACCATCACCCTCTGTGGCTTCGGGCTCGGGCTCCGGCTCTTCCACACAGCTCTTTTTCTGGGAGGACTGTGGCAGAGACAGCAGGGGCTGAGTGGCACCAGCGGCTGCCACGCTGGGCCCCCTCCCCAGACCCCTCCCTCGGCCACTCGCTCCTTCCTTCTCCCACCTCACCCCCGCCCCCACCCAGGTGCCCAGTCTCACGAGTGATTTGAGACCCACCTCTGTCGGATTAGCCCCGGGGTAAACCCACTGGCCGGGCAGGCAGGGCTCTGTGCAGGAGGGGGGAGGGCTGGAGCAGGAGGCAAAACCTCGGGTCAACTTCTCCCAAAGGGAGCTGGGACCCTTTCCCCGCCAACCCCCGCCCCCCACCCTCCCGCCTCATCCTGCCCGGCTCACGAGCACCTCCTCCTGGAAGCCTTTGCGGAAAGAGTTGAGGCCATGTCCTACACTCTCAGTGGGCCCAACAAAGGTCTGTCCCCACTTACCGCCTCCATCCTGTTCTTGCCCCACTGGCTGCTGTCTAATAGTTGCCCCTCACCACAACCACACCACACACCCACAACCCCAGCCCCTCCTGCAGGAGGCCTCCCCCACCCCCCACCCCATGAGCTCCTACTCTGAAAGCCCTGGTGTTTCTGAGCCCCCGTTCCTGAAGGCCAAGCATCACGTGTGGGCCCGGGGGGAGCTGTGGCCAAACCTGCTTTCCAGGGGGTCTGTGGGGCAGATGGCAGCTCACCTGGTAGCCAGAAGCCTTGACAGTAGGGTTGTTCTCGATCTCCCACAGCCCCTCGCTGAACCCTTTCCTCTTGTTGGGCTTGCCAAACTTCTCCTTGGACTCCTCGTAAGGGAAGAGGTCTTTGGGGCCCAGGAATGCCCTGGTGAGAGATGGGAGACTGTGCTCTCGAGCCCCTCACTGCCTCTGAGCTGCACAGCCCGACAGGGAAGGGGCACCATCACCACCACTCTTTCCCCAAGGTGGACTGCCCACAGCCCTCCCCCTGGGCCCCCTGACTCACGTCTCGTGGGTCCCGAAAAAAAAGACTTGGTATTTGTTGGCTGTTGATTTCACCGCAGCCTCGGGCATCTCATCAATCTGAGAGCAGAATGAGGGAAGTGAGCGTGAGCTGGAGTCCTGAGGTCGCCGATTTGGGGCTGGGGATGTGGGGGTGGGGGACTGACCTCTAAGACACATTCTTGTAAAATCAGACTGAGAGGGACCCAGGAGATCACCAAGGTGGTTTCTGAACCATGTTTAGGAGTGAACTTTGTTCAAAACAAGTCAGACATGAAAGCCCAATGGAAACCCTGGAGTCACCCCCCTCTCCTTCACGAACCCACGAGAATCCGTTCAGCCTCCCAACATGTCCAGATCCTGTTAAAGCTCCCCGTCTTTGCCATCACCCTGGTCCAACCACCGTCACCTCCTGCCTGGACTAAAACCACAGCCTCTGTCTCTCTTCTCAGTCTCCATTCTTGCCCCCCTACAACCAGTTCTTCACACTGCAGCCACAGTGGGCCTTTCAAAGCGTTGATCTGAGCACTTCATCCCCCTGCTTGAAACCTTTCAATGGCTTTATGTGACTAAGTGCCCATCCGTTCACCTCTTCTCCATAATGTCAAGGTCTGAATCCCAACACTGCCACCAATATTTGTATACCTTGGGCAACTTACAGAACTTCTGTCTGCCTCAGTTTCCTCATCTGTAAAATGGAGGTAGTCACGTATTTATGCCATAGGGCTGTGAGGATTAAATGATCAAAACCTGGCATGCAGTACATCCCACATGTGCCTGCTCTCAGCATCCTCTCCCAGCACGCTGCCCTTCTGCTCTTTGCTCCGGCCACACTGATCTTTCAGTTTCCTATACTCACTAACTCCTGATCAGCCTTCCAACCCCAGCCCCATCATCACTTCCTCCAGAAAGCTTCCTCATCTCTCACAACCTGGGCAGCTTCTCAGATAAAATTCTTACCACCTCTCCTTCACAGCACTTTTCACAATTCCAATTTTACAGTTACTCATATTATCATTTAATTAATGTCTATGTGGACTTCCATACCTGCTCCGAGATCAGAAAGCAGGTCTGTTTTTATGCTCGGCACAGTGCTAGCACATAGTAAGTGCATAATCAAGATTTGCTGAAGGAATCTGTGAAACAGATAAAAGCAGACTGCTCTGGCTGAAGTGGAAGGGTGAGCCCAAGGGGCTGCCTATTCAATTACCCCCCTCAGTAGTTGCCCCAAGAGGCTTCTGGGGAGCACTTTGAAAGCCACCTAATGTACTCAAACTCTCTCATTTTACAGATGAGGATACTGACGCCCAGGAAAGAAAACTGATTTGCCAGAGCAAAATGACAGAGCAGGGTGGTGAGAGGCAGGTCTCAGAGCTGGATCTCCAACTTAATCCCCTGCCCCACATGTCCTGGGGGGATGAGGGTGCTGTTGTGGAGACAGTGTGGAGGTCTGAGGTCAAGGAAATGGAAAGAGACAGTGGCCCAGACAGCCTCTCCCAGATGAGGCCCTGGATGCCCAGACCAAGCTGAGCTGGTGGGGGGAGGACTACAACTCCCAGCAACACTTGCAGCAGCCCCAGCAGCCTGGCTTCCCGCCGGACAGAGGGCAGGTAGCCATGTTGACTGGGGCCCCAGGCGCAGATAGGGAAGAGACAGACAGGCCAAGGCAGTGATTAACACACAGAGACTAGGGCAGAGTGCCTGTCTGGGGGCCTGGGGAGACAGGGAGGCTGGGTGGATGGAAATCAGCGGAGACACACCCAGGAGAGGAGGTGGAGCCCTGGGCATGAGAGTGAGGGGCATCTTGCTCAACATGGAGTCTTCAGGCTCCTGGGCACCTCCCCCCTTGTCCTGTGGCCTCCGGGGACAGAGGTCTAGCCCCTCCCCCTAGGAAGGCCCGGCACAAACTGGGCCCTCCCCACGACCAGGAGACTCTGGGATGTGTGAGCAGGGGGTGGAAAGGCAGGCCGTCCAGTTCCCCCCCAAACAGGATCCCCATCGCCATGACAACCCAACCCCGCCCCCGGGGCCACTCAGCAACCAGGAATGTGACCGCCCCTCCCCCCAGGCCCTCTCTCCGGATTGGGGAGGAGGGGACACTAACACACACCCCACCCCCAAGCCTAGAGTCTGGCACCTGGGTCCCCGGCTGGGCTTGAAACCACAGCTAGGGCTGAGGGCCCGGGCCCTTCTCAGGAAGCCAGACCTGGGGTGGGGGTGGAGGAGGAGCCAGTCCTGGGCCAGGACACCTGGGTCCTGTTACCAGCCAGCTCCCCACCCTCCTCTCAGAGGGGGAAGCAAAAAACAAAATGAAAGCCTCCAGGGCTTAGAGATCCCAGGAGACAGGCACAGTACAATAATAGCAAAAGCCCTTCCCTCGGCCTCTTCTCAGACTATCTCTGCACCAGGAACGGGGGCAGGGGTGGAGATCTAAGGGTCTCCGGCTGGGAGTGCAGCAGGGAACTATTTCAAGCTCTGAATTTTTAGTGCCCACACCTGAGCCAGGGCATTAACACGCTCTAGGAAATGTGTGATGAAAGAGGAGAAACCGAAACTCAAGAATAGGGGTGGGGTGAGCGAAGGGTCAGAAATGAGGAGACACGAAGTTCTCTCAAGAAGCATGGCCCCGGCAGTCAGAGCAGCTCCTGGACCATCGGTCTCTTTCCCATGGAAAGCACACTCAGAGAGAGGTAGCCGAACATTGTGACAGGGGACCCAGGAGGCCACCAGCTGCCCAGCTTCCGGTGGGGGAGAAACAAAAGAATGGATGGGAATTAAAAATAGACAGAACAAGACACACCAGATATACCAGCCCTGCTGACTTCTAGCCAAGTAAAGGGTGGGTCTAGAGGAAGGAGGGAGGCCAAGGGCCTGGGCAGATGGGCATCTACCCCAAAAGGGTCATCCCACGCCCCTGCCTCACCTTGAGTGTAGGCACCTGTGGGGGAAGGGCCAGGAGAGGTGTGCTGTCTTCACATAATGGAATTCTCAACCCCTCACCCACAAAAGGGGCGAAATCCCATCTGTAAGGGACCCTCTATCCTTCAAGCTACAAAGGAAATGTCTTTTCTTGCATTTGGAAGTGAAGGGCGGTTCTTCCTTGACATAGAGGATATGAGGTCTCAGGGGAGGCCTGTACCCCCAATACAGATGTATGTCTCCCAGGCGGTGCATTTATATCCAGGCTGTGACTCAGAACAAGTGAGTCAAGGCTAAGTGGGTCAGGGTGGGGCCAGATGAGTGCTGGGGACCCCACTGCACCCCCTCCACTGGTCAACAGGGGAGGGGGCTCTGCTACTTCTCAGCCATTCCAGGAATCCAGGCAAGTTACTTCTCCCAGGCCAGGCCCATCCACTCCCACCCCCACCCCTCTGAATTTGCCTGGCTCCATCAGACAGGCCTGAGCACATGAAATATCATCCTCCCAGAGCCCATGGACACCCTCTGAGGTCTGAAGAGGAATCTGAAGTTCCAGGTGAGGAGTTGGGGGAGAGGACTGAATACCTCTCCCCCAGCCTCAGACCAAATCCAGGCCCAGGGTCGCCTGCTCAGCACATAGGGAGGCAGCAGAGAAGGCTAAGTAAGCCCACAGACTGCAAGCCAGGGTTCTGACCACCACACCCAGGGCCCAGGCCCGGCCTGACCCAGGAACCAGAAAATCTGGGGCAGGAGACAGTTGGGGCCAGGAAAGTGTGGCAAGCCCAAGAGGCAGAAAAGAGAAGGTGGTGCCTGGATGTGGGGGAGGGGCAGAGGGGGGAAAGATGGGTGAGGCCCTCTGCCTGCTTAGGTTTTCTGGGATTGTGAAACAGGAAGCCGAGAGAGGAGGAAGGAACCTAGGGGGAAAAATCCCTGAGTCTTGGAGATTAATTGTTAAGTGCTTGGAGATCCCCCAGGAAGTCAGGCAGGAGGAAGAGGAAAGGAGAAGGTTAAGATGGAGTCACACCATCTTTCCAGGCAGGTCTTGCTTACCACGTGGCCCCTCTGGCTGGGCTCTCCAAGCACTGGGCTGTTCCAGTCTCACCCAGAGTCAGCCATCCTCCCCAGAAGCAGGGGCTGAGGAAGGAAAGTCCACACAGTGGCCTTCACCATGGCTGAGGATTCTGGCTGCCTATTAGATGGGGCATCAGCAAGGCTCCCCTACTCCTTCTCCATCTCTAGAGTGGCCAGGCCCCTTCAGGCTCTGCCACTCCAGGGACTAAGACAACATCTAAGGATGGTGACGAGACTCAGATTTCTCTGCTCTGTTGGGATCCAAGGGGGATGTATCTGGGTGATAACAGGCTTGGGTGACCGCTACCCCCAGTTGTCACAATCAAGAGCCAGAACACAGGCAAAGGGTGGGGCCCTATCTCTTTGAGTTCCAGTCTGATCTCCCTTCCCCAGCCCTAACCTTATCTAAAAGGTCCAGGCCTCCAGAGAGGAAGAGACTCTGCCTCCCCATCCCACCCTGCTGTCCTGGAGGCCCAGGGTGAAGAGATGAAACAGATGGCGTTCCCAGTCCCAGATCTACCCTCACTCCAAAGGCCCCAGAAACCTGAAGGTCTTCCTCACAGCGGCCAATGTGGGCCCATCTGTGTCCCCCCTCCCTTTTCTCTCACCCCTGATCCAGAAGGGGTTCCCTGCAAGTGACATTCCAGCTGTGCCCCCTCCTCAAGGCTTAGCCCAGCTGCTGGACTTTGTCCCACCCCCAGGAGGTAGGAGCAGCAGAGACCTGGGTTCATTCTTGCCCTGCCCACCAGGGCCTTGGCATCTGGGCCAAGAAGCCAGATGGATCAAAGGTGCAGGGTAAAGTACATGAGTGTTCACACACCACACACATATATGCACACACAAGGCTGTCTGTGGCTGCTTCCTCACACTGCCTCCCCCACCCCAGTCCCCTGGGAAGCCCTAGAAGCTGGCGAGTCCCACTTCTCTCTGTATTTCACTTCCATTCTAGAGGCCAGCCATCTAGAAGTTTCAGGAAACAAGGAGCTCAAGGCATATGGGATTAGGCACACTCCTTAGGAGAGGGTACAGAGTGAGGAAGGGTCTCCTGGGTTTTCTCAGAGTGGCCCCAAAGTTGGCCTGACACCCTGAACAGGACCCAGGGGAAGCTGGGGCAACTTCCGAAGCTCGGAGCAGGGTCTGGGCCAGGTGAAGAGATCCAGACTCAAGTGGAGAACAGCAACCCAAAGTCATAAGGCAGTTCTGCTCTTGGTGCCCTCCCTCCACTCCTCTCTGTCCTTCTATTTCACTCTACTGGAGGCCCACACTCTAGGGAACTGAGTCATGCCCGCACCCAATACCAAAGCCCTCTTCACACCAACTTTGAAGTAAGTTGCCAGACCCCAATGTCCTCCAGCACCCTCTGGCAACCTCCCTCCCTCCTTACTTCATCTGTCTCAGTCCTTAGGGGAAACGTGATGAACACACCAGGCTGGGCTTTTGGGCCCCACCCTCCCACCTGGCCAGGTGCTGGAAGGGAGGGGGGCAGGCCCTCATATTGGCGGCCTGAATCAACCACATGGCCGACTCGGCTGTTCTGGCGGGAGAGGCTCACATCTGGGGGGGAAAGCAACTCGGGCTCCCCCCACCTCCACTAAGAGGCAGTATGGACTGGACTTGCCAACCTCACGGGGCCCTGCCACCCTGGGCTCCCAATTTGAGTTGGCAGCATACAGAGAATTATTTTTGTGGGGCTGAGGAGTGAAGGGGTCTGGCGGTTTATTTCCGAGGCAGGAAGATCTCCTCTTACGCCGCCCCCAACCATTCCTCGACCCTCCCAACTTCAGACCTTTTACTGACGGCCCGACACCAAAGTTTTCTAGTTTTCTAGGCGAACTCCGCCTTCATCTATCCTCTTCTGGGCTGGGATCCTTCTTTAACCATTTAATCCACGAAGAGCAGTTTGAACTGGGGGCAGCAATCAATGAAGAAACTGGGGGTCTCTAAGGGGGTCCCAGAGGGGGGTGGCGGTGGCGCCTGGGGGGTGGGTGGGAGGAGTTACACAGTCAGCCCAAACCCAGGCAGCGCGCCCGAAACCGCCGGGAGTATGGGGGCTGGGGGCGGAACTGAGCACGCGGAGCCGGGGGCCGGGAAGTGACCGGCGCCCTCGGATCCCCACGCCGCGCACACGCCTCTACGCGCGGACGCCGTACTCGCCAGGTGTTCGCCGCCATCCCCACCCCCGCCTCCACCATTATATAACCGGCGGGTGGGCTTGGAGGAGCTCGGGAGAGAGTCCGGGACTGAGATGCCCCCCGCCCCCATCTTCTCCGCGCCGAGCGCTCCTGTCCTCCCCGGTGTTATGCAACCCAAGCCCGGAGGGGGATAGGGGGCGGCGGGCCGCGCTGCTCACCCGGGCCGGCCAGTGTGGGTAGCCCTTCATCTTGGCGAACACCAGGTCCCCGCATTTGTACTCCTTCTGCCGGTTAGATCGCGACATGGCGGGGCTCCGGGCGCCCCGGGCTCCGCGCCGGGCCGGGAAGCGC